GAGCTAACAGTCATTCTGGCTCCCTCTTATGGCCGATTGAGGAAAACAGCAGCTAATCACATTTTACAGAATGGTTTTAAAAAAAAACAAATATAGCATTGTTACATGATTTATATATTGCCAACCCAACCGTTAGATTATATTCCTAATAATCAGTAGATTAGAGCCACGTTGTCTTCCATTAGTAGGCGTATACTCTAAGCCAGTGATAGCGAACTTTTTAGACACAGAGTGCCCAAACTGCGCGTGCATGCGTGCATGCCCCAACTGAAAGAAGTGTGTGCATGGACATGTGCGCATGTGCACACATGCGGACATGAGGAAACACACACATGGACATGCGTGCATGCGCAGCAGAGCCCCAAAGACCAGATGGTCGGTAAGAGGCAGGGCATCCCAACACTGGCAGCGTGGCAAGAGATAAGATCATTTTCTTTCATGTCCTTCTGTTTCGTCATATGCAGGGAAACAGAAGCTCACGAAAGAAACACCACAGAGATCTGACCTGGAGTGATGGCACGCGTGCCAGCAGTGACAGCTCTGTGTGCCAGCTCTGTCACGCGTGTCATAGGTTCGCCATCACGGCTCTAAGCAGTGTTTTACTCAAAAGATGGCCTACTTGGTATTTCTTGAGGAGAGGAATGGACATATTCAGTCTGCCCTGATCCACCGTGAAGGTAGACTCGGCCTGTAATTTGTTGCTCCAGTACAAAAGTGGTGATTTCCCATTGCTGCCCAGACAAGCTACGTTTAGTGAAAAGTCAGTGAATAGTTTAGTGATGGGGGCAGGATGGAGGCGGAGGGAGAAGCAAGTCTTTCTGGAGCTGGGAAAATTGGCGCCAAAAAGACTCAGTTCCCCTTCTTCTCTTTTTTTCATTTTTCTTACCCTCATTGTATATCAGCCTCAGTAGTGTACCATTATCTACAATATGAATGAGCACTATTCTGGTACTTAATTGACAAAATAGACAGCAGATTTAAAAAAAGTTTTGTTCCCCCCAGGAAAACCTTTTTAGTTAGCAAACAATTCAAGAAACACAAGTACCATGTGTTGCATTGATATCTTCTGTATAGTGAAACCAGCACTCTAATACAGCCATAGCTGTGCAGATATCATGCCAGGCTTCTTCACTGCAATAATGTCTCTGGAAAATGAGAAATGGACATTTACATCTAATATAAATTGCTACTCCAGTATCCAGTAAATAGTTTTTGGTCACATATTATTTACCAGAATTATCTTCAGTTCCAAAATAGGGATATAACAGGGAGTTTGATGGACGTGCTGGGAGTCCCACAGCGACACTCATCAAAATACATCACCAAGCCCAGTGCGTCATATTTTCTGAAAACGCCATATGCAAAACTTGGATCGTGAGTGCTGATTTATTCCTTTGTTTCTGCTGCTTTATCGATAT